GTGAAATGTATTTGTAGTAATATAGCAATTGACAACGTCCAGAATCTCCGGATATATGTTGGTCGTTTGGTCTACCTTCCCGCCACTTTTTTTCAGTTCTTCTTTGACTTTCCTCTCCGCTCCCTCCGCTTCTCGCCGACACACTCCTTAAATTACCCAACAACACTACCCAGAGATGCCTTCCAAGTCCTTACAAGCTTTCTGGGTTTTTTGTTTTTAACGGTTAAGTTGAACTTCAATAAAATTGTAGTAAAAGAAGCTTAAAATATTCAGTGTAAGCCAAAAAGGGGCATAAAATTAATGATAAAATACCTACAGAGTAACAACTCGAGGAAGACAAGGCCTCATGGCCTCTTAATTATTATCAATAAGATTTGGATGAGTTAGGTTAGAAATAAAAACACATTCTACCCCACTTTTGTGGGTCCAGTATTTTAGGTGTAATAACCCATTTGGTTTTCAGATTGAAATTGCTTCGAAATATCAATTTTGAACCGGATTGAAATCAGAGGATCAGATTTTAGACTCTCCTCAAATTTTCGACACAATGGGTCTGTTCCGTAAAATTAGCTCTTTTGATAGCAATTAAGTGTTTTAATAATGTTTGGTTATTTTAGTAACTAGTAGCTGCATTTTTGGTAGCCGTTAAATATTTTAGTAGCATTTAGTTGTTTTATTAGCCAACAGTTGTTTGAGTAACTTTTCATAAAACGCTAAAACTTAAACATTATAGAGATTAACCTTTTATAAAACACTGCTTTTAATATTTAAAAGCTAAAAAAATATGCACATTAAGAAAGATTTTCATTTTTTCTTTGCGCCTGTCGAGCGTGAGATTTGGCGAGGTTTATATTATTAGAATATTTTTTAAAAAAGAAAAGAAAAATATTGGATAATATTTTTCATATAAAACTTAATTATCTTTTTTTATTTTTAATTTCTTCATCATTTTTCTCTGCAATTTAGTGAGTACCCATTATTAAACCCGTTTAATAAAGTGAGTATTTAAAGATTATATTTGTATCGTACCTGTATTTATTATGAATAATAATTTCAATACATCACAAATCCATTTATAATTACTAATATCATTTTTAAACAGATGGATCGAAAATGGTACTTTAAAATACCCATAACACAGCTTCTATCCCTATTATATCTCCTACCTGGAACCATCGGTTTATTAAACCAAGATTGTACTTTTCTACATTCCAAGTTATCTTATCTTTTCTTAATCAAACATGCTTTAATCTAAGCAAAAAGCAAATAGATATTGAGTATGAAAGTTTGTTTTTTTTGTCCTTATTCGGGTCTTTCAAGTCAAAATAGAATATGTTATTATGTTGGTGGTTACAGAATTTGAAAATGGGGTTAAGATGCCAAATTGCTATATTTAAAACCATTCCCTTCCAGCTGGGTTTCTACTCAACGGCTATTAAATAAATAATCACTTGTTCATCTTCCTACAAACAGTATCAACCCAAACAAATATATGCTTCCTCAAATTACTACCGCTTTTTGTTGACCCTAACTTAATTTTTGGACCTCAAAAAGCCATGCTCAAAGACCCTAAGTTAATATTTGTTGACCTCTCTAAGTAACATAGATGTATTATTGAAATTGAAGCAATTAATTTTAGGTTAGGCCTAACCTAATTATAATAATGTGACCATTATTGGTATGGACTGAATAGAAAAGATGTAACTATTATTTCTTACAGCTATGGATGAACATTGAGATCATCACTCACAGCTGTAATGATATTGTCCCATTCTTTGGTTAATAGGGATATATGTCATAAGCTGAACTTGTAATTATTCCACTTAATTTCAGATCTTGAAACAAAAAATAAAAAATAAAAATAAAAATAAAATTGTAAAAACTTTCATTATCAATAGAATTCAAATATGAGAACTTTCGCTATTTATTTCAACTTGCTCTAATATCTAAGGTCTACTTATTAGATTACATAGAAATAGGCATCCATTAATTGGTTTTATAATTGCAAAACATATGAGAGTCAATGGCTTAGAGGTTTTAAAAAGTAAATACTGTGGGTGTGAAAACCGCAAACTTAGGGAGCTTTAAATGCTAAATTAAAGTGAGAATCCAATTTTGTTTGGTATGTCAATAAGCATGAAACTCCTTGTCCAAGAAAGAGACAACACCAAAGCATCCATGCTTTTCTAATCAAATATTTTTCTTTTTTTTAATGCAAATTATACAATTTTTTGATAACACAATCATTTCTGACCCTTGATTCTCTTTCCATACAAAATCTGAACCCTTTAGTAAGATGGTGCGCATGGGTCTCCCTTCCAGAGTCCTACTTCTTGCTTTGCTTGGTCTTCTTGTACTGTCTATTAAGGCTTTGAAAGTGAAATTCAGCTTTTTACTTCTCCTATGCATACTTTTACTTTTTGAGTGAAGAAAATTCAAAATCAGAAAAAAAAAAAAGGGAAAATCTTTCAACTTTGTTTCAAACTTTGTTAAAATTTAAATTTTTTCCTTTTATTTTTTCATTATTAAGCCGTTGCTCATTACCTTTTTTTTTTAAAAGGTTTTTTTGAATTAAAAGCTACCTTCTTTCTTCTCTTGAAAATGGAGTGTACTGGAATCTGAATTTGCTACCTAGAGAAAGAGTTCTAGATATTGAAGAAGAAACATCAAAAACTGAATCTTGTCCTTAAAGGGTGTCTTCTTTTGGAGTAAAAACTGTAGTTTGAGACTTTGAGTCAGTTGCTGTTCCTTGGCCCCCTCTATATCAATTTTCATGGCCTTACATCATTCCAATTGGTTTTGTTCATTCAAGCTTCTACACATTCAATTGGGATCTTATTTTTCATTTTTTTTCTTTACAAAATAAAAAAAAAAACCCTTTTCCAATGCAAAACTTTACATTGACAAAACCCCAATTTCTTATTTCTTAAAAAATGCATTTTGAAAAAACTACATGCCAAGGACTTAATGGTTTATGGTGTTAAAATTCACTTCTTGTAACTAATAATATCATATAGTCAAAATAATAAAGTTTGTTGGTTATCAGTAATAATAAAAATATACAATTTATTGAGAAATTTCGATTTAGTAATTAATCCGAGCCAAGTTATTAAAAAAAAAAAAAAAAAAAACCGTTACAGGCTTTTTGAGCAGTCCTAGCCTAGTCTTTCTACAGTGTAAAAACTATATAAAAAAAAAATCTTCAATCTCCCTCCGTTCTTGAAACAAAATTACTACACTTCCAAGAAAAAAAAAAAAAATTCCATTAGACCCAAAATCTAAAAATTGCTAAAATTAACTATGCTTATTGAATGCTCTGTTTTCACTATTCAAGTGAAATTGAAATTGGATTCATTCACAACATAAACATAAAAGTCCAAACATTCAGATAATTATAATCTAAAGAAGCCCATGATAAAAATATATAATCAACAGGCCATAATTCTTTACACTACTATTGGATTATATAACAAAAAGAAAAAAGATTTTAATTATTTGACAAAAAAAAAAAAAAAAAGAAAATTAAGAAGAAATGATATTAAATTACTTGGACTTATTTTCAGTCAAATCGAACCAGATTTGCTTGAAAACCTTGATAATGAGATCATGGTACTCATTGGAATTTAAAGAAAGATAACAAGCAAGAAGGTCTTCTAGATCTTTAGAAGCTCTGATATTGTTTTCCACAATCATCTCCACCATTGATTCTCTAAAATCTCTTTGAGGATCAAATGAAGATTTAACAATCGCCAAACTATCAGAAAGACTTCTTCTAGAAGCTGTTAAACTCGACGATACACTCTTTCGATGCGCCTGAATTCTCTTGTTAGCAATTCTTGGCGAATTAACACGAAGCTTTAAACCAGGAGAATTTAAAGAATGTCGTCTAAAAGAAGAAGTCGTTTTATGTTCTTTCATGGTTACGCTTTCTTCTTTAACCACTTGTACTGATAAAGAATCATTGGAATTTGTTTCTTGATATCTAGCTGAGCTTTTCCTGTACTTTGTTGTCTCTCTAGTGTCGTTTTTCTTGATTTCTTCAACTTTGTCGTCGAATTTAGCAGCTGGCTTGGTTATAATTGGAGGGAGATCAAGATCAGATAAATCAAGAAGATTATTATTATCATCGAAATTTCTAGAAAAAGATTTTTTATCCACATCTATAATAATATCATTAGAGCTTGACCAAGAAGCCACCATTTTATCAAAAGACTCGGTTGCAAGAACTTGATCGGACCTCAATTGCGGTGGAAATGAGTCATCGGACTCCGGCAAGCTATCAGAACTAGAAGCAGAGTAATCCGGCGGAGAATCTGATGATTTAGTCCAAATGGTGGCGCGGCAGCTACAACCGGCGGAGACAGAGGAGGTGACAAGCTTTTTTGGAGAAGATTTTCTTTTAAGCTGTCTCTGTTTAGAGGATTTTCTCGGCGGTGGAGGGTCATGGAAACAGGTATGGGTTTCGGATTCTGGGTTATTCTGGATAAGTTCTCTAGTGAAGTAATAAGACTTTCTTGGATAAGAAGAGCAGTGGTGGTGAGTTTGTTTTGGTTTGGTTGGCTGTGAAGTTGAGGAAGAAGAAGGAGAAGGAGAAACTAAATGCTTTTTCTTTAAAGAATTAGAATTAGGGTTTCTGGTTTTGCCCATTTCTTTAAGCTTGTAAAACCAAGCATTGGGCATCATATCAGATAATCTAAATCTGTAGTTACCCATCTTTCTTTCTCTGTGTATTATGTGTGTCAGTGTATTGAAACAAAAATTTTGTCCGTCTGTCTGGTTGGGGCGAGAGTGAGTATGTGGCTGAAGATAAATAAATAAAAGGGAGGTTGGAAGGGTGGGGTGGGGTCTACAGTGGGGGAAAGATTTAAAAAAAAAAAAAAAAAAGAGCGGGACCGCGTGGTAAATTGGCTTACTGGTTTCTGACGCTTTAATCACCTAACGAAACAGAAACTTGTTCTGATAGTATGATTGTTTTTTGTATATTTGTTAACAGATTCTTCAATTTATTTTCTGTTTTTGATGGGCTCATATGTATCCGCTCTCGTACTACGGCTAATCAGTTTTCTCTTTTATGCTTATGTGGCATACATGCATATTCTCTTTATATAATCAATTCTTCCTTCATTTCCATAATGAGTTTAATTTTATTATGCCTATTTCTGAGAGGATATCGAGGAAAGGAATTAAACTAGATTTATTGTTTGATTATATATACACTTACCATTATACTTTTTTTTAATGTATATTTCTATTAAATATATTGAATAAACTCAAACAATTGTTTTCGAATAAATTTTTAGTAATTCATGAGTGACTCAATTCATCTATTCTCGTATTTAATAAAAGCCACAAGTTTAAATGTATTAAGTTTGCGTCATATTTTTTTTGTTTCAAAATATAAGTCATTTTTAGGTGATTATTTTGTCTCAAAATATAAGTCGTTTTGAGTGTTTTAAGAAATAATAAATAATATTTTTTTCAATATTACCCTTATTTATATTAGATGCATATACTTTCACAATCGACTATAAAGGATAATCTAGTCAAATTCCTTTTAGTTTTGTTATAATATAGGAGAATTAATTGATTCATTAATTCTTGTGCAAAAACCTTAAATGACTTATATTTTGGGACAAAAGAAGTACTGTGTATAATTTTAATTTCTAGTATATATCACAGTATATTGCACACCAAGGCATAACCTTATGATAAGTGCATACTGAAAGTAGTTCTGGGTTTGAATCCTCTCTCCTAATGCTCAAAAAAAAAAAAAAACAATATATTATGTTACCTCAACAAATAAATACACAATTTAGTTTTTATATTATATTGTATATATTCTATTTTTTGCATAAAAATAACAATTTAATTTTAACAATTTTTAAATAAAATAAGAAAATTAAAAAAAAAAAAAAAACACACTATAAGTCTGCCCTGAAATTTTTACATAAACAAAAGCTTAGGGAATAGGTACTTAAGCCCGGCCCATGCCCCTTGATTATGCATAATTGGTGTTTGAAAACCCAACACTATCTAATAGTCATTAACCACCCTTCCAAATCAACAAATTCTTACTGTTTGCCAAGGAGAAAGGATGCAAGATTGTCCAAACACTCGAGTAAAACAATCATTTCAGGTTAAATAAAATTTAAGAACATAAATACCATACTCAACAAGTATGACTGCTGAATCAAAATGAGTTTTTTTTTTTAATTTTTTAAATCACTGGTATCCAGACCCTATTACCAGAGTTTGATTAAATTTGATTCGAGGATTAGTCACAGTTGAGGCTTTTCACCAATTTCTGTAGATGTGTTAGTGGGTATTTAACCCGAGAGTTCTTTCTACATATTCAGTCTGCGTTGCCAACTGAGCCACGACCTGTAGATAAAATGAATATGTTTATTGAATGGGTGTAAGTTGGTTGGTGCATATCTCATAGATTTTCTGGCTTTATTGCATATCTGCAGCCACTGCATTTCTATATAACTTGTGGAAGATAGAAATAAAAGTGCCCTACAGAGAGCTGAAGAGAAGTAAAGGACACACCTTCAAGCAAGACTTGCACATCTAAATCCAACGTTACAAAATTTTCAGGGGCCCATTATTCATTAATCCTTAGATAGCATTATTATCGTATCTATACACTTGACTTTCCCAAAAGCAAAGCTTGTTGCTTTCCTGTTTTTTGGTGGGTGCATGGAAGATTCTCAAAATATTTCTCATTTTGCATTTGAAAATGAAATGAAAATAAATACTCAAATATATAATGTCAGATTTTTTATTTTAGACCAATTTAGTTGTTGAATTTGTTTGAAATAATTAATAAAATTTAATTTAATATTTTGGATCAATTTAATTCCTAATATTGTCATAAACTTATTGTTTATCATAAAAATATAATATATACTATAAAAATTAAAATTACAACTATGTCTTTTGATTAAAAAATTAGTTAATAGATATTCTAAAAAAAAAAAACTTAGTTAATAGTAAGTCAAAATACAAAAATATTCTAGTTTTATAAGTAGATATTATCACAGAGCTAAATATTATGTTATTATTTGTATACTAATACTGCAATTTTGTTTCTGCACATATAATTAAATTTAACTAGTTTTTTTATTTGATAATTGGATGTATATATATATATATATATATATACACACACACACATAAAAGTAGATGTAATTTCTGATATGGGTAACGTAGTTTCAGCTATATATCATCTTCCTTAGAAAATAGTAATAAAAATGTTTTAAAATAATAAAATATGATGATTTATACTTTATATAATATATTTTAAAAATTAAAAAAAAAACATTTATATACTTATACGTCGATTCTTCGGTTTGGTTCTAATTTAATTTTTACTAACAAGTAGAACCGGAATTAAAATAATGAATTAATTCTTTCTGTACTAATTCTTTTTGATTTAATATAATTCTTGAGTTCAATTCTAATACTCCAAGAATCATGCACAGTCTTAGATTCTATTATATGCCAAAGAAATATCTTCTTGTTAAAAAAAAAAAAAAAGGAGCATATTGGCCCCTACGCAAAGAGTGGCCCCCTACGCCACTTGTCCCTCTACATATCATAAGCTCAGTATTGTCTCTTAAGGAAAATAATTCTCCCAAAAACAAATCATTAAAAAAAAATTAAAGCAGAAAAAGGAGCAATCTTATCCTATCTTTTTCTTTTCTTTTATTTCCTTTTTAATAAAGATATAATATTACAGACGCTAGCCCAATTTTTATTTTAAAATCATTAATTAATTAGTGAAAAGATAGGAACCAACATACTCCTGCTCTTTTGTTAATTTAGAGAATTGAATTACTGTTCCAGCCATGTGTCCTACAGCAGTATTTTTGGACAACGATAAAAAAGCACCTGACCTGACCCTGAGTTTAAGACAATATGACCTAAAAACTGGGTGAAAACTACAGAAAGAAAGACAATAACCAAAAAAAAAAAAAAAAAAAAAAAAAAAAACACAGTACTCACCCTGCATAGAGACAAGGTCAAGAACAAAGAACTTAAATTAGCAGTAAGCGAACCTTCCTAACCCTAAAATAATTTCTCATCCGTAAAAAAAAAAATCGATTTGAAAATATTAATCTGCCATACATTCGCTATAACATATAAAGCCAAGAAATTAAAAGTGTCTGCCATCAAAGAAAAGTGAAATGACAATGGAGTTTTGTTCTGTTTTGCACCTGGTCCATGTTATTTGGTTTTCTTTCATTCAGCTTCTTGCTGGAGCGGGACAAAAGAAAAAGGTAGGCGTGTCTAATTGAGTATGTTTGAGATGACGTTTAATTATATGGAATTTCGTGTGATTTAATTTGAGATGACCTTCACTGTTAATTGAGTATGTTTCAGATGATTAACCCTTTGATTAGACGGATTTTTTTTAAAGAAAATAAAATAATTATTGAAAGAAAATATTAATGGAATCAATATTTCACCTCTTTGATTTAAAGACAAAATCTTAAATTTAAATACAAAATAATGGAGGGTAGTGAAAATTTCACCTATTTTATTAAATTCTGCAAATACCCAAAATTAATTAACAAATTTCTAACCCTTTCTTAAATATTTCATTATTTAAGTGAGGATATTATTATTAATTTTCAATAACATTTTATTTCTTTAAAATTTTTTTTTATACTTATATAAGGTATCCAGGCCTCCATTCGTTTTAACAATTTATAAATTTGATTAATTTTTGCTCTCTCTCAAAGGCAAAAGGACTTATTTCCTCTAAAATTTTGCACTATTCAAACAAAGAAAAATAATATTTATTTTCTTTACTTCGTTATATCTAAATATAAAGGTGAAAATTAGAAGGAAAATTGATAATTTCTCATTATTTTCCTATATTATTTTTCTTCTTTTAATATTTTCTTTTCTCTCGCTTCCAAATAAAGGGTAAGGATTTAGATTTAAGATCTAAGAGTATTCGCTTTATTGGGTCCAAGATTTCATATATATTGATAATACTATGATGATTTATTTTTAAAGGAATACTATGATGAATTTTTAATTCAGTTAAATGTTATTACAATAAAATTTCAATTCAAATGTGAATGTTATATTATTATGAATTTAATTTTTTTTAGAAAATTTTAATTCATTTATAGATTTTGTTATTATGAATTTAAAATTTATTTTAACTTTTTGAAGTTATCGTCTAGTTTTAATTTATATTTATGAATAGTGAAAAGATATTTGAAATGCTTTTGAGATGCAATAAATGTAAGTATCAATTATTTCAAAAGAAATTTTTAAATGAGTTCGAAATAGATTTAATGATAAAAATTTTAAATAAGTTTGAGAATATATGTTAAACTTAGCGGACTCTCGTGTTATTTTTTATTTTTAAGCGTGGCTATAAAGCATTTAAAAAAGTGATATAAGTATTTTAAGATTTTTATTTTTATTTTCATAGACTGGTCTTGCCTTACATATTTTATTTTAACTTGTATAAAAAATTTTGGTAAAATTTTATAATGTTTCATATTTTTATAACAATTTATAAGAAATTTTATGTTTTTATGGTTATTATCAAAACATATTTATTTTACACACATGTTTTAATTTTATTACATTTTACATAATTAAGCAAATTTGATCAGAAGTTATAAAGTTTATATATATTTTTTTTAAGCAAACATCAAACCATTGCATTAAGAATTATAAAAAGATAACAAAAAATCTAAGATAGCCTCTTATATTTTAAAACTAGCATGATAAAAGGAAACTTGAGCAAGAGAATGGACTCTTTCTTTAGTTTGTCTCCTGCACTATCTAATAACAATATTTCATAGTATTTATTTATTTAAAAAGTAATACGAATGAATTAGTAGAATACGTAAATTTTTTTTTTTTTAAGGAAGAATACTTAAAAATTAGAATTTTACCCACCCTTGCCTACGCATTTCGAGCATGTTGTCTAGCGAATAAGTTGCTTGGTTGAGCTATTGGGCGAAAGCTCCGATTAATTTTGCATTCCCCAAGTTTCATACATTTGGGCCTAGCACATAACCGGAATTTTTTTGCGGACAGAAATTTCTCTCTTTCACATCTTTTTTTCCTTGTATTGTGAATTTCTGATTACCTGGAACGGAAACTTTTCCATTCATTTAAGTTTTCTTATCATTCATGAACGACAGATAACTTTTCGGTCGCATCAAAACTTTTCGCTATTTGTTTCATGGGATCTTTATAATAATCGATGGCTTTTGCCAAAAACTGGACTTCCAGATAATCCAGACCAGACAATAAGAGAATATAGTATTTAAAAGAGGAAGAATAAAGAATCAAAGACCATTGCTATAGCTAGAATAGAAGAAAATAAAATCAGTGGACAAAATTGTTGGTTCGTTGGCTGGGGCCGGAAGGAGGCACAGGTCCCTTTGGAAGAAGATTAAGCAACAATGGCCTGTACTTTTCAACTACTTTCTCCTCTGTTACTTTTAGAAGAGCAACATCTTCTCCATCTCCTGCCGCTTGAATTTTGTTCGAAAGAGAACCATGTAATAAGATTCTCGCATCAGAATATTCAGACATGATAATGAAAAGAAAAACAATTGTTATGATTACACTATTAGTTTTGTAAGAAATGGCCATTATTTTTTGCAGATAAAGAAGATAGGTATCGGTTAATTTATTGAACAATTTATACTTGGAGGAATTGAAGTCAGAAATTGATTTGAAGGTTCTTGGTTTGGTGGGATCAATATTACGCGTCTCCGCCGCTGGAATTTTGACTTTTTAATTACTAATAAATGATTTAGTTAACTGTATTTCCGGTGAAATGCTACGATTGACTAAAGAAAATCTGTAAAACGTTCAACACCATCTTGTGTCGGTGCACATGTGATTATCATGTTGCTTACTCAGCGGCTTAATGAGAATGGAAGAAACTAAATATTAACTCTTTTCTACAGTTTGTAATTTATATTATAGCTAGTCAACTCTTTTAAATTTTGTATCTGTCTATAAATTTTATCAAGTTCGAAAGAATTTAACAAAAAATAATCAACAACATACGAAATTAAAAAAATAAATTCCAAATGAAAAATTTTCATTTATATCAAACATGGAAGTGCATGTTGATTTATAAATAAATTTTATAAAGTTAGCAATCTGCTAATTAATTTTGCCATTGCAATATTAGTTTTAGACTTTTTTTCTTGATTACCTGTTAGTATAAGGCTCCTTATCTTTAACTATAGGAGTCTTTTTTTTCCCCCTTCATTGTTTCATGATCTGCCATTATTAATACACCTTTTCCACCTTATTTGCTGCATCAGATTTGGAAGAACAGGCATCATCCTGATATATATATATATGATCATGCTGTTTCTTCTATATAAAGGGTATTATTTAATCAGTACATAATTCTGTGCTTCAGTTTATTTTCGTTGTATAGAATATATAGTGAACATTAATTAACACACTGATTTTAGTCTTATGGCTGAGAAAGATGTCTTTATTTCTGAGGCTAATTCTTGAACGAAAAATAGCAAAGAATCTTACACCAGCTAATAGATAACAAAGAATGAAATTATCTTTTCTTTCTTGGAGGAAAAAAACGAAGAATATAACAAAGAATGCCTTTTAAGTTTTAAGATCAGCAATGAGTTATACATTACACATTCATTGCCTCATCATCAAAGAAGAAAATTAAAAGAATACATCATTTCTTTACAAATTCATCAACATTTGCAAACAAATGTTAACTAAATTGCCAATGTGGCTGATCTTGTCGTAGTTCTGACTGTAGAAGCAGTACTATTACTCTGCCTATCCGCAAGTTCACCATCCAAACCAGCCGCCCATCTTCGAAGAATCCTCAACAGACTCGCCGCCTTTCTTCTCGATCTGATTGTCCCCATTCCCATTAACTCCCATATAATTCTCTCAATCCCAGATATAGATGCCAATTCCGCCACCATTTCCGACCCTCCTTTTCTACAAATCGTGACGAGAGTTGCCAATGCACTCTCTCTCACGGCATCCGATCCTTCCCTTAATAAAACCCCAAGTTTCTTTATCGCTTTATACGCAGACACGAGTGCTGCTATTCCTCCTCTCTTCACCACCACTTCGAGTATTGTCACTGCCTCCTCCGGTAGTACATTCACCACTTCCGTCACCATCTCCACCACTCCTCCTTCCACTAGTCTCCCTACTGTTTCTCTATCTCCCGCCAAATTCAAAATCGCCATTAATGCGTCTTTTTTAGAAATCGTGTTTCCGGATTTTGCTAAATCCATCAACCCTTTTAGGACACGTGTTTTCCTCCCTAGTCGTTTCCTATAAGAGTGCACGCCTGACAAGCTGAATATTGTAGCCGCTGCATTTGCCTTTGCCTCCCACGTGGCACCTGACCGTAACACCTCAATAACTCCGTTTAATGTTCCGTCTGTTTCCATAATCGTTGCTTTGTTTGCTTCGAGAATGGAGAGGTTGAGTAAAGTCGTAACGGCGTTGACTTGGAGGTTCGGGAGTTCCGAGCCTACATCTGAGCCTAGATAGCGGACTAACAAAGGGATAGTTCCAGCTTCAGCCATATAGGCTCGACTATCAGAGTTTGTTTTGGCAAGCGCACGAAGCTCGTAAACGACACCGTTTGCGGCTTCCAATGATTGTGATTGGGACAACTTGTTGACCAAAAACGACACCGTCATCTTCACAGCCTCTAGCGCGGCCTTGTTTCGTATGACGCCGTCAGCTTTTTGGTTACCATCCGTAGTTTCAAAAGGTATTTTCTGCTCGCGACACCACATGCCAATTAGGTTCTTCAAAGCGAGGTTAGGAATCAGGTTCGTGTGGGCCAGCTTCTGACCTGTCTTGGGACACGTGTTGTGTCCAGATTCAATCCAAAGAGTAATTGACTCGCGATCGTATGTCTGGCCTGTCGCCACAACGACTGGGTCCCGCATTAAATCAAGACTGATAGGACATCGGAAATCCGTTGGAATGTTAACCTCCGGCGACACCTTCCTACCCCCGTGATCGGATGTGGGCGTGGACGCTCCATAGAGAACGCATTTCGCGTAACGGACGAGTCCGATCAAAGCAACCACCTCAGATTTGGATTTGTCATCAATCTGATTTTGAATTTCTTCCTCAAGACTCTCGATTTCCTCTGTACAATCGGAAGAATTGCGTAGACCCAATTTATCAAAAATCTCTGCGAGCTTGGAATGATCAGGCACGATCTGTTTCTTAATTCGGTCGAGCAAAGTTAAGACGCCGTGTCGTAGATTATTATCTTTGGGATCCAAAAAGGCTTTAGCTTGTGAACATTGATTTCTAATTAACAACACGAGTTCTTGAATATCTTCGCTTAAACCAACCTCTTTGACAGGGAAAATATCCAAAAGAGTTGACAATTCAAGAATCAGCTCATGAAAACTGCTAGAGACAGATTCGATTTGTATAAGAAGCCACATCTTGCTTCCATTTGAGCAGTCCTCGATCAGAGTTTTGATTCTTTGTAAAACTATGTACATTTCTTCGAAGCACAGAAGAGTTGGTGACAGAAAAGGAATTGGATTACGAAGAAGCTCATCGAATAATACAGCCAGTAGCTTAGCTTTGCGTATAACCGAAAGAGAATTGCGTTTTAGAAGGAACTGTAAAGGCTTAAGAGAGGAGATTTCCTGAGAGAGAATGAGAAGAGATTGGACGAGTTTCTGATCGGAGAAATTAGGAGCAATAAAAGCCCCGGCCGATGGCCGCCGTTTTCTGGGCGGGAAAACTTGAGGAGAAACCGTCATGAGATAAACAGAAATCAAAGAGGAGAACTGGGAACGAAATGATTTTAGATTTGGAATATGGGTTTTGATTTCATTCAACGGAAAAATGATTGGTTGGTTGCAGAAGCAAAGAAAGTAGGTTTCTTGAAATGGTTAATATACTTTTTAGAGAAAACAAATGAAGCACGGGTCAGATAAGGAAATAAGATAGGTGGTTTTTGACTGTGTACGAGTTGGTTTCTGCTCTAAAAAGAAATAAAAGCCGGTGTTTTGATTTGGCAGGCGGGTTTACTGGGTAAAGAGTTCAACAAACAATTAAACGAACGACAAGTAGACTTTTCTTTCAGATATAATAAAAACTGAATTTCTTGAATGGCTAGCTAATAAAATTTGAGCCCTTGGATTAAGTCCACCAAACAATGATGGAACTATTTTAACAGCCGCCGGCAGGTGTTTTTGTAAGTAAATGTTTGTTTTTTTTTTTTTTTAAATTTATATTTATTATTCAACGCATGAACTAACAGTTATAATAATATTGGAAGAAAGGGGATGATAATACTGTTGCTATGGTAAGCGGTTGTTGTGGACTTGTTCTGGATAGCCGTCATATTATCCATATGTGAATATAATATTCATGCATTATCGTGCGCTGTTGCCCATTTACTTATAATGTCCAATGCATATCCAGCTGCTATAGGTTATTAAAAAAGATACTTTTCTTTGTTTTTCCTTTTCGCTTTTAGCAAAGCTTAATCTTTTAAAACATGTGGAGATCGTTTGGCTTCAATTATTGGTCTTAGAGTTTGCCCAAGTCTTCAACGAAAATTAAAAACTGAGTTTTAACTTATCTTCTCTATTTGGGTGTTTGAATTAATAAAATTTTTATAATTTTGAAAAACGGTTTTAATATCAGTTAAAACTTAATTATTGTAGACTTTTTTCCCCTTGTTTTGAAGAATTTTAGTTGAGAACACGATGATTATAATTAGTTTTTTTAAATGCTTGATCAAAAGAATGATTGATGAGCCGAGATATCCGCTTGGTTCTCTCATTCGGATTCAGACGATAAAAACTCCTTTGTACATACACGTGGAATGAATCATGGTTTTTTTATCAATTTCAATTTATCCATTGTTCTTATTTTACTTTTATCAGTATGGTTGCTATATATTTACGTGTGATTGTTCATGAATTTAACGATCCCCAAAGGGTAATTAAGTTTAAACATGTGTGGTTGAGGGTTTGAAGCTAACATTTATGTGTCAATGTCATTTCCTAAAATGGAGATTTGGCAAGTTGGAGAAATCGGTGGGAATGTGCAAACGGTATGGAGTTTTCTTCCTTTAGACGCCACGACACTTGCGGTTAATTGCGGCTCAAGTATTTCGTATCAATACACAAAATTATTATATCAATCCACAAATTTTTAATTATTATTAATTTTCATTTTATCCAATTGGTCGGTTTGTTTATATGCTTAGTTAATGATGAAGGGAAATTATTTATTAATTAAACAGATAATAACAGTTAGAGTTAGCATAATACATCCTTTCCGCTTGTGTTGTCAGGCTTCTAAAATTCATGAAAAACCCATGAAATATTTAGTGGGACAAATTCTATTGTATTGGTTAGTTAATCACTTCAAATCTTGAAAGATGTTTACTTTTTCCATTCATAAACATAATACGTTTGTACGTTGATTAAAGAAGTAATTTAATTCTTTTAAATTATAATAAAATTTTCATTAATTTGACTAAATTATTAGGAATATTACGCATTTAATATAAATAAGTATAAAATTAGAAAAAATTGATTAATTACTTATACATATTCTCAAAACAATTTATATTTATGGAGAAAAGAACAATTTTAAAAAGACTTATAGTGGGTAGAGAGAGTATTTAGTTTTAAAAAAAAATAAATAAATATCCACAGAACAAAGATTAGTTAACATGTTTTTCTGTTTGTTTTATAATGCTAGGAGTTGCATGATAATTAATTTATGTTACAAGGATTATTAGAAAGTGAAATACATCCGAGCATATAGGTTTGGTGATTTGTTGAAGACTTGTTGAGCATAATTTGTGATTCATATCCAAAGGCATGAGACACAGCCAGCAAAGATGGAAGCAAATTAGAGATGGAGCAGATACAACCAAAGATTGCTTTGAGTGTGGTTAGTCACAACAACTTCCATGAATGACGACTAAGGCTTGTCCTAAGCACCACCAAAAGAATATGTTCCTCTCCTCTTGCTTGCTCACCATCCATTCACCAACTTAAGATAAGATTCTTTAATTTCTAAGCATCAATTTGATCAAATTTATAAGTTAATAATACCAATTAATATGATTTAAGTAAAATTAAATTCTGATTTAATTTTTCATTAAAAGGGTTAAAAACATTTTTGAAAAGTTGCATCAGAGATCACTTATTAATCACCCACTAATTATGTAGACATTTTATGGTTAGGTTTTGGAGCATTTGTCAAAATCATCCAATGAAATCTGAAATTAATCCTCAGAAGGAAAATGCATTTAGATTTTGTTCCTTTTCCAAATCATTGTCACTCAAATTGCTGGTCATGAATATATGAAGGTAATTAGAGATTGGATAATTATAAAAAATGATAAATAAATACTTTTGCAATTGTTTGTGAATGCATATTTGATATGACCAAAATTCATAAAAAAAAAAAACCAAAAGTAAATTGTTAATACTCAAAAAAAATATATAAAATTTTAATATGTAAAAAATATTGAAACCACGAAAATAGGAAGTTTTTAAAAAATTACTTTTGCTTTATCTTTACTTTTGTTTCAATAAAAAAAAAATATTTTTCATTGGTCTGTTATATGAGTTGATCCATAATTCGAGTTTAGATAAATCAATTTCTTGATAATTAAATATTTGTAAGAATTTAAAAAATGAATCAAAATAAGTAGTGTAATGCAAGGTAAAGCTAATAGTCAGTCTGGTCTTAAATCGATAAATCCTAGATCAAAATCGTGGGGGGACTGATTCCAATTCCAAATCATTGGTTGAACTGGAACAAGACCAAAATTTTAGGATCAGCTTTGATCTTGATTCATTGTCTTCAGGACAGGACGTAGAATTGCCGGTTCATTACCAATTCAATGAACTGGCCATTTTGACATGGGTCAGGATGATTTGGTCCGTGTTTTTCTTGTTGGGTTTAGTACAATGGCTTCTGGTTTTATGCAACGATTTGAGTTAGGCCTATCTTTTTTGCCCTAAATGAACTACAAAGCCCTATAGGAGCACAAGTCACCAGCACCATGGGCTTGCACCTAAAAGAACAAGAGCACGTGTCGCGTCCAATAACCAACAGGGCAATTGGGAAACTACATATAAATTCCGTTAATATTTTTATTTAATTAGTTTTACACGGAAATGGGAGAAAATTTAATAAAAAGAAATAATATATGGTGGTTTATTTTTATATAATTTTTCTGCGAAAACTTATCTGATTTTTATATTTGCCTATTGCACCACATCAAATATACAAATACCAGGAAATTTAATGAAATTTGATTTGCCTATATTAAACTATGCCAGTAATATTTTTTTCAAAAATAATTAATTATGTCAGTAATCCAAGAGTAAATAATGAAATGAATCAATATTATAATAGTATGAAGCAAAAATAAAATCCAATGAACCGTTCAAACCTACCTAAAACGGACACTGAGCACCGCTCTGCGGCGGCTGGAAAGAAATTAATATTACCCATTTCATATTATTGATCTGTTATTGGAAAATGGTGATCTTACATTGCAGGATGGAATTGTATATGTCAAATTGAAATCTGCCAAATTGCGAGTTGAAATTTACTGGTGAAGGTGACATCATTCAATTTCAGACCCCCAAGTAGGTAGGGGATATTATTCTCATAAGGATGAATGCATCTCAATAATTGATGCTTCTGTCAACCGATTTCGCTATTTTCTGCTTGGTGTGGCCTTTTCTGTTTTAGTGTTTCTAAGGGAACATTCATCGAACATATTCCGTTCTCCTACGAGACGCTTTTTATTTTTTTAAGTTATGGATTAAAAATAAATAAATGGAATAACTACGTCTTACGTATCACATATGTTGAAAATCTGGGATTGGGGGTGGCCGGACACTACATTTTAAGTGGATATTCAACTTATTGCCAGACAAATCATTTTAAAATTGAGTTTAGTCATTTTAAAATTTGTCGAATGATTTTTTTTTTTTCGAATTATGGCATATGATTTGAAGTGATCTCACTCCCACCTATTCCGACCCGCCTTATACACAAGGGAAGCCGCTGATTATGAGAAATTCGGCTAATGAGAAGTGCACTCTGTCAATTAAAAAATCCCTTTCTTAAAAAAGAAAGTACTAATATTTCAAAAGCAAAGTATCAGTCCAACTTAAATAATCTTTAAATTATCATTTTTATATATATAAAATGATAATCTAAATTATTCATATGTTATTGTTTACATACACAAACATGAACATGTTCTATATATTTTGAACCTAATGCATTAAATACCTTAAAGTTTTTAGAAGATGTATTATGTCCTCAAAGTTATAATTTTTAATAACAACTTTATAAATTCAGTTGATGGGTGTAATTTATAATAATAATAATAATAATAATAATTTTTAGAGATTCATCAAACCTTTGAAACTGATTATTTATATTAAAAATTATAATTTTGGAGACGTAATGAGTACTTCAAAATACCACAAAAATAAAATTCTGAATTAGAGAAAAAATTTCATGCATTAGGTCATATAATTTGAAATAATGTGTAACTACACCATTGTTGGCTTGTACGTGTGGTTTTGAGGCCACAAAGTTATTCCTTAGTGGCAAACCTACGGAATCATTGGAAAGAAAGTTTTTGGATATTGGATGCGCTTTTAAGACTTTAACAGTTAACTTGAAGGCTTTCTGTTTTTTCCAAGGTTTTATTTTAAGGTTAGATTCCCACTCAACCGTTGTGTGATGGGCATTAGTGATATAGACCGGTCTCTATTATTGGGATCTCTAATATATTTTAGGGAAAAAAAATAAATTTGTCCTCAAATTATTGAGTAATTAAATTAATATAGGAAATTTTCTATTTTTAAAAATTAATTATAAAATTTCTAAATCCTTTTACTCCCTCCGTCTTATAATTTTTGTCTTACTCATTTTTCATCTGTTCCAAATTATTACCTTATTTCCTTTTTTGGGAGTGAATGATATTCTAAATTTACTATTTTTACCCTTATTTAATACATTTATTGGCCAACAAATATAATATAGTCAAACTATTATATTGTTATTATTAATTAAATCTTGATATAAATAAAATCAATATATCAATCTTTAATCTTTGAATACAACTCTGTTTATTTATATGCTTGATTAATTTAAAAAACGAGTTAAGATGTATAATTTTAATATAAGGGTATATTAGAAAAAAAAAGTAAAAATTATAGTTTAA